CTAGCAAGATGGCTATGGAAGATATCTTTAAACCAGCTTGAGGGAGAGTGTTGGAAATTCGGTCATTGAAAGCCTTGATTTAGTCATAATCCATGAGATATTCTAGGATATGTTTTCTATATAAATATAGAAAGTAAAAGCTGTAAATCAAGACAAAGTAGGAAAGTAGAAGCTGTCAAATATTGGCTCTAATTAGTTTCTTTTTTTTTTTTTTTGTAATTTCCCTTTGTATAAAAGGAAGTCTTGTACTCATTCAAGAAATAAGACATATTATTTTTTCATTTTTTCCTAAGTATATCTAAAGAAATGTTTCTCTTTTCCTCCACAAACCTTGTCTCTTATTCTCTTCTTCTCTTCTTCTCTATTCACTTCCTCCTCTACCAAGTTTTATCAAAGGTCAAATATTTACAATTTGTAACCTTCATTCAGTAAACTAAAGGTAAGAATCAAACTTAGCACATCCAGAACTTTATTTTAAGACCAGGGTATCAAGTTTTGTCCATGGTTGTCATAAGTTGGTTTTATGGGGGTTTAAGAAAACTCTTGAGTTTAATCAGTTTTTCAGTGATTTCTAGCCTTAGAAAGTGTTCCTAAACCCTTCATAACGCCTAAACTCAGCTAGTAATTTGTTGTTTGATTATGTCTAGTGAAAAAACTTAGGGAAAACTCTCAAGCAAAGGGAAAGTAGAATCTCACCTTGGGTTGACCTTTGGGCACCCTTAAAATTTAGAATCATTAGATAACTCATTTCTAACTCCTCTATACCACATGTAACTCATTTAGATGAGTTTTGATATATTCCATAAGTTTGAAGCATGACATGGTAGATTGCATCATTTGAGTGTTTTTAGCTTGTTTATAGACTCTCTATAACCCTTAAAATCAAATAAAACACTTAAACATCAGTTGGGGACCTCAATGAGGCATTTGGGTATGGAAATATAGGATTTTCGTACCAAAAAAGCCCCTAGTAGCGATGGTATCGATATAGTAAGAACAATATCAATAATGTTCTTCAGTTGAAAAAAATCAGATATTTTTAAAGGGTTAATATCAATACTCATTCTTTGAGTATCAATACTAGGCAGGAGTATCGATACTCCACATAGGGGTATCGATATTGGGGATTTTTCTCAAATATCAAACCGAAATTTGGTATCAATAATCAGTCAAGTATTGATACCCCAACACCATAGTATCAATACTCATCCTAGGGTATCGATAATGCCTTAACTCAACAACCACGTCAGATAAGGGGGTATCAATACCAACATATGGGTATCGATACTAAGGGTTTGGTATCGATACTAAAGGGTCAACATCAGTACCCACATGCATATTTTGATAAATAATCTAGACGTTAAGTGATCAGACTCGAGGTGCTCCAAATACTCTTGAATAACAGCAAATAAGACTTCAAACAATAACAATAATTAATATCATAAAAGTAAAAACTATAACAATTATGTTACATGAAACTAGCCTTGTTTGACACTCGGTAAATAGCCAAGACACCCGAGTTTCTCTTTAGTAGAGTACGACAGTCAGTGGATATTCAACTCAGTGCTATGACATTTCAGCAGCAGACTGGGCACCAGATGCCCTAAGACTCGACGAAGTGGTCGGTGGGTCTAAGTTTTCAATGATAGAATTTTGGATTTTCACCCGGTAGGCTAGATGGGTGTGAGCTCTGAGATGACAAAATCCCTCCACTACACCATGATATCTATCCCAGTTTAGTAAATTAGGTTTTTAATATATTATGTATTTGCATGTTTCATACATGTGCCACTAGTCAACTCTTTTAATGAATGCATATAGTATAGTATAATTATTAGTGAGGTGATGAGCTCGTAAGCTCACAGTTCGGAATATGTTTTCATGTGTAGGTTCTTAGGGGCAGATCGTGGAGAGTTATCGTCACTAGACATTCAAGTGCAGCAGACCAGGTTTCCAAAGAGCATCAGAGTACGTCTTGAGTTATCTTTAGAAGGTATGTACTATTTATGGACCCTTCTGTACTATTCAGTCGTAACTTTGATTTGTATTTAGTATTGTAATATTTTAAGATATATTTTGGGATCTCCCCATTATTTGTAAACCCATGTTAACACGTTTTATTTTATTTCTATGGATGGATTATTTTTAATGATTATAAACAGTCTTTTAATAAAAAATTTTGAGTAATTATTTTGGTAGTCCCGTGTAACATTGTAATCCATGGATCTTCAGGTCTAATTGGATTAGGGTGTTACAATTTGAGTATGTTACTACAATGCTGGAAATTTTATTGTTTGATTTGAAATAAGTAAAAATGATGGAATACCATTTTGAGTTATTGGAAAAGTTGATGTGAATTCTAGAACGAATTCATAAATGGTGACTTAAATGTAAAGCTTATGAAAGTGGAAGGATTGGTAATGAAAATAATTATGGAGTCGAAGAATTATTTTGGAAGGATTGAAGTTGTTATGAATTAGTGATTTGATTTATATCAATTAATTATCGATTTATAATTTGTAGAAATTTTATTATTGCAATTAGATTATGTTAGTATAATACTAACATATATGTTGAATATTGTGTTATTTATATGATGTCATACAAACTATAACAAATATTGTGATCCTAACGATTTGAAAGCGAAGGACAAAGCACGTGAGTAAAACAATATCGCATAAAAAATTCGATATTAAGGCAAAGGTGAATGCAGATGATTTATTTAATTATACTGACCGAGGAAGACTTGCGATAAGTCAACCTCAACTGATTTTTAAAGAATATATTTAATTTAAATTATGGAGAATTTCCATAGTGTTTACAAAAATGGTTTGTGAATTGTTTTGGGGTATGAACTATCCAAGTATTGATTCTAATAATAATGTGTTGAAAATAATACTAATTGGAAATGATTGATTTATAAATGGATATGATTTATTAGAAAGCCTATTGTATGTTGCATTGAGAGTCGTATATACAATTGGCATGCCATGAAGTGGAGTGATTTCTGTTTATTGATGCTGATATTGTATATTAGTGTACCTTATATGTGGCACCGTGGGTGCATATGATATAAGGCACTTGGAGTGCATATTTCTATTTATATATGATAGCACATGGAATTCCTATTGCGTACACTCATCTGACTTGCGTACTTTGCATTCTCTTAAATATACATTGGGCTAAGAAAATGAAATGTGAGAGTACTAAAATGTGTTTGAATGGAAAGAATATGGATTGATTATTGTGATTGATATTGATTATCATGACTTTTATGAAATCATGAGATGATGATTTTTCAAGTTCCTGATGTGGAACGATGGCTTAAATAAGTCGGTTTGCAAATTCAATTGTTTTATTTGAATTAAATTTTATTGTTTTGAAATGTTGTTATAGTTTTTATTCTATCTCACCTTCATTTTTTATACTGCCTCACTAAGTTTTACTTAGTGTGTGATGATTTTCATGCGTAGGTTCAGATAAGGAAAAGGACGTGAAGTGAGGAGCCTCCCGGGCATCTTTTGGAAATCGTACCTACCTACAATATCAGCAAGACATCTCTGATGCTATTTTGACTTTTTAATGGCATGTATAATATATTTGTTTGGTTGCTCTGATAGATTAGTTAAAATGGTTTGTAATAGTAAATTAGAACTGATTTATTTTGATTAGTATTAGTTATATCCAATGGTATGAATGAATTTTGGCTTTTTAATGGCATGTAAGGCTCTTAACCTTATGGTCGTGGGATCGAGTCTCATGGTGGGCAATTCATAATTCTGACTGCGGAGGTCTCCCACAGAAACTGCTCTCAACCTGGCGTTGGGGGCAGCCTACTATCCTACCTCCCCCTTACCCCATTACATATGGGAATAGGGTCAACTAATTTTTATAATATATATGTTTGGTTGCTCTGATAGATTAGTTAAAATGGTTTGTAATAGTAAATTATATTCCATATTATGTTTTAAAAGTTAGATGAGTGATTTTTAAAACGAGGTAATGTTTAAACAGTTTTATTAATGTTGTGAAACAACATTGAACTGTCTAGTTGCTGCCTAAAATCAAACTTAATTTAGATGATAAAATATTATTTTATTATTTGATGCGATTAATAAAATTGATTTTAATTGTTATATTTGAAATTTTAAAATGGAATAAAATTTTATAAATTTTTGTGTAAAGAATGTCAGAAATGAATATCGTGACATCTTTAACTCGTATTTAGGACGTGTATGAGAGGGTTTTAAAACATTTGGAGAACCACGCCTCAACTCATCTTGGAGAATGTTGAATGCAGATTGCAGGCGCCTAGGGTTAAAGGCACAATTATTTTTCGAATATTCTGAAATTAAGAATTTTTTTATCCGTATCCAATCTGATTATCTGATTTTTTTATCAAATATTCGATTTGAATTATCCAGGAAAAAGATTGAATCGGATCATTCAGATATGATAATTTTATACACCCATACTTTTGGCAACATACAATTCTTGTCAAATACATTTCATTTAAAAAATTATTTAGAGGAATCAATTTCATAATAAGATTGGGATTTTTAAGTTTTGTTCTATGTTTTATTATAACAATATATAGAAGAATGTGAATTCAAACATGTTAAATTCATGTTATTTTTTAATTTAAGGTTTGGGGTCTAGTTACAACCAACTTTGACGTACTTAAACAAAACTGCAAACTTTTTTTTTTAATTATCTTTAGCCTCGTGTTGGTAGTTAGATTTGGAGATAAACTAATAGTTTTATTACAAGTTGTTAGTACCGAATTTATGCTTGGTACAATATAAGCATGTGCATATTAATAATTTGGTATTCGAATTGTCCTTTTCATCTCGTGAAACAAAATAAACATATTTGTTAAAATCAACGTATTTGACTTTAGCTCCTCGGTAGGTAGGTAGGATTACATTACGAGACAAATTTCAAGTTCCTATAAAACCCCACCTTATCTAATGCAAAACCCTAAAACAAAGCGTATTGAGTGGAAAATGCAAATGAGGCAAATATTATTGGTAGGTGCAGCTCTCTTAGCCTCCACAAGCACTGTACTTTGTGCCCAACCTTTTACTTTCTACGCACTCGTTCTCCATTGGCCGCCTTCTGTTTGTAATTCGCTGCCTGCGGGACAGACGTGTATTCATGACATCCCCGAAAGCTTTACCGTCCATGGTCTATGGCCCCAACGTAAAGATGCCAGCCCGGTGCATCCCGGCGATGACGAGTGCAACGAAAACTTTTTTACGGCAACAAGACTTGACGTGAGTAAATTTTACTTTGGATTAATTAAGTACGATTCTTCCTTGTTGAATTCTTGAGTGTAATAGAAACTTCAATATGTCCATGATTCGACTAAAACTTTGTTTTTATGTATAACTTTTTAACTGTTTAAAACACCTGAAAATTTTAATACAAGTTAAAACAAAGGCTTTGAGAAAGTTTAAAAAGTTGAAATATAGAAATTTATACATGAAAATAATGAAAATATCATATCTATCATTAATCTATGATCGCATGCAAGCCATCTCTGAGCATAGACAAAAGGGGCACTCTTAGGGCCCTCTTGTCTGGGTCCAAAATTATAAATTTACATATAATTAAAAGATGATAAATTATTTATTTAGTCACTCATCTATTATTATTTTTTTGTTTTCGTAATCTAATTTTTTTTTCAAAAGCATATTTAACGTTACGTTTTATTTCTTTTTTTTTTATTATCCACCATTAAAAAATTAACAGTGAAGTTGATGAACATTTTTAAATTATTCTTTTACTTTTCACTTAATTATTCTTTTTTTTTTACAATATGATGAATGTTACAATCTAACATGTACCCTTTTAAAAGATGATCATGCTTGTTTTGAGTGAGTAGTTGGGTGTTAATAAAAAAATTTGATGTTTTCTATTTAAAATTTAATGTGTTTATTAAACAGTATATTAAATGTAATATACAAACAATTTACAAGTATATTTATTTAGTTTTATTTGTTCTTACAATTCAATTTTTCTATATATGTTATTAGGTGTCTAATTTCTATTACCATGCATTAACTTTTTCTTTGTTATTATTGAACTCGTAGAATATTTTGAAGAGGAAATCGTTCTACACGAACTTAAAGCAAGATTGGCCAAACCTTTTGGATGAAGCGGGCGGTGATCCGACATTGTGGTCGATTGAATGGAACGGGCATGGGATCTGTTCCGATCTCCAAAACGATCCTCTTGCTTATTTCAAATGTGTTACCGTTCTCTTCGACGACCGAAAATTCAAAAACTTAAGACAAGGTGATTGATTTATGCTCACATTTCATCCTGTTTTTTGAATAAGCCATTTAAGTAAGATTAATGATTAGAGGTTTGGTTTTGGCCCCTAACTAGATGTGGGAATTGAAGTTGGACAATCTTATACGTTAGCCGATGTACAGCAAAAATTGAAGGGAAAATATGGAGTAAATCCTCAAATTGCATGCAACAAAAAGATTCAACTTTGGGAGATCCGTTTCTGTTATAAAAGAGTAGAAGGAAAAGAACCTGTTGACCTTCAAGACTGCCCCAAGTTATCTGATACAAAATACCCATGTGATCAGAACGGAATTCAGCTCCCTCGTGCTCCTGCTCCTCCTCCCTCTTCAACTCCGCGGATGGTATCGGACGAGCCACATTCAGAATTATAAATTTAGTTACGGTTAGATATTTAAAATGCGGTTGCGGTCGTATTCTCGATTGTGTTTAGTCTTGCTTATGCAGTATGCCCTGATGATTTGCTGTGATGTGTCCTTTCTAGTTGTTGTGTTTGTTTCTGTGTTCTTAGTTTCACTGTCTTTTGTGGATCTGTTTTCAGTGTCACTTTCACTGCCGTATCCCACTGCTTGCAGTGGTTCATCTTTAATAATAAAACTTACCCATGGATGAGGGTGTGTCATTGACGTATCGAAATTTAATATCATGGGATTCAGTTATAAATGAACAATATGTTACTCAAATTTAACATATATCTTACGATCAAGGACCCATTTACATACGTGACGAACAAACCAACCTTAAGACGTTTTTTCTATTCATTTAAGGTAAGTATAAGTGAGTATTTGTAATTTAAAGATAACTTTTAATCATTTATCATTGAACGTTTGTACTTCTAATATTCATGACACTCAAACCACTAAAACATTGATTTACATCAAAAGGGATCATGACAAATTTACAAAGTTTCAACCGAGAGTTTCGAAATTTGAGGGAAAATTTCAAAAGCGACAGACTTACTGCCAATGGTCAATTTAAAACTTTTGAAAAAAATTTGAAACTTCCACAAAAAGTTTTAAAACTTAAGCAAACTTTCGATGCCAGGCAAACGTGTAAGGATTAATTTTGTATTTTTCTAAAGTGTAAGGATAAAATTAATATTTTATCTAAGTCCAGGGTTGAATTAAAAGTTAACCCCTTTTACTTGGTTTACCACATCATCAAACTAACAATATTTAACACCACGGTGACCAGAGTGTTATATAACGACAACTTAAGTGATCAAAATTTTACCTTTTAACACCTCCGTGACCAAAAGCAAACACTTATGAAACAAAAGTGACCATTTCGATAGTTTACCCTAAAATTAATGAAACTAACATTGTTAGTTTTCTTGAAAATATTTATAATTTCAAATGTTTTAGGGTTTTTAATTTTTAAATTTTTTTAATCAATCAAATTCTGACAGGTCAATAAATCTTTTGATCATTAATATGATTAACAATAATTTCAGAGTCACTCTCGTAATAAATTTATATAAAATTCTATTTGAATTAATTCATCAATATTACTAATTAATTAAAAAAATTAATGTTCATTAGGAGTCACAAATACATACAAGTCAAATAAAAAACGGAAATGTTTCCCTCAATCGATAAAGTCACATGTTATGAAATCAGTACTAAATACTTTTATTAAAAGCTATTAGTTTTGTCTCAAAAACTGTTATACCTACTTTCGTTTTGATACTTTTTTTGGCACGTGTTGTGTACCTAATTTGTATCATAACTTGAACACCAGACACTTGCGATGAAATTAATCTATACATTTATATAACTGCCACTCTCAATCACTTAACAAGACAAGACCAAGATAATTTGAAGAAAATTCGCAATTTGGTTTAAACATTCTCAAGATAATTTGAAGAAAATCCGATTTTTCTTCAATGAGTTACTTATTTTACTGATGGTACCCACCCTAAAATTTTATTTATATTCATTCCATTTAAACATTTTATGTTGTTAACATATGTGTGTCCACTCTTAAAAATATTTATAGATCTAGGAACGGAGCTATGTTGGGATCCAAAGGGGCCCCAGTCCTTGTAAAAATTTTATATATTCGATAAATTTTAGTCTAATAGTATTTTGGTTCATGTAAAAATAAGTGTTCAATTAAAAAAATACATAAATTTATTAAATATTTAATCAAGTAAGGGTCGAACTAAATGATGATATGCCCATGTTTTCAAATTTTTTGGTCTAATAAGAATTTAGGTCATTGTAAGTTTAAATATTATACAAATTAGACATTTTCTTTTTAATTTTGAATTTAAATACCTAATAAATCATTTTTAAAAAAATTCAATATTTTAACCCCTACCGATATTTAATCCCGGTCGTCACTGTCCGGATCCACCGCTGATCCTAATATTTTAATTTTGATATATTAAATTCTTATACAAACGGCCTTTAGAGAAAAAAGAGAAAGACAGAGCGAGGGGAATAAGAGAATGGGGTATAATTGTGTCAGGATAGAGAACCTTTTTATATACTTTATCCTACCCGTCACATGTGATTAGGGTGAGTATTTAAGATTTTAGTTAACCGAATTATTAAATTTTATGTTATAAATCAAATATTATTTGGAAGTTTTTAATTTGTCTAGAATTATTTGAATTTTTGTTTAAATTTAATTATAAATAATTATACTATTTTGGTATTAATTATTTTAATTTAAATAATTTTTATAATCATAATATATATATATATATATTATATGTGATATACATATATGATATATAATTGAACGTTCTACTCGAATTTAAATTAATCTGATAATTATTAAAAAAAAATTAAATTATTTAAATCTTATTTTATAACTTAAATTTTAGTTATAAAATTTTGAGTAGACATTTTTAATATCAAATCAAATAAAAACTTTAATTTTTTAGAATAAATTTTATTCACTAATACATTTGACATTTTGGGATTGGAGGGTGAGAAGAGCTAATGACTACCAGTGAGCTAATCACCATTTACCTATTAACCATCTATCCCACTTAGTTGGTGGAGGTACCGGGTAGGTCAAACTATTTCATTTGACCGGAGAAGCACTGGGCAAAAAAAAATTTCTAATAATATTTTGGGAAAAATTAATCGTATATATTGTTTTGAAAGGGAGTTGCGTATGTTATTTTGTTACGCCCATACAAAACATGTTAAAAATATGTGCTTAGTTAACAAAAATTTTAATTTAAAATGGAGAGAAAACAATACATCATAAAAATGTCTATACAATAGACGCGTAACGGATCACAATCGCGATAGCTAAGACAGACCTCACCCCAGCCAAAGCAAGATTGTTGAAAATAACAAGACCATAGAGCACCGAACATGGGCAATCAAAAACACACGCGATGCCCAACTACAACCATAAGAAATTGATTAGGATTAAGGATGTGGAATTAGATAATTGTTTAAGTTTTAGTTGGATCCTGTCAGGATAAGTAAAATTGAATATAGGTCGTGTCAGATTAATTTGATGGTTCGACTCGGATCAAGTCGGGTCTGAATCAAATCAGTTCGGGTTATTTTATGGTAGATTTGACATCAAATTTAGTTCGGATACATATTGAGTTAATTTCAATTTGGATCGATGTCAATTCATGTCAAAACGATTTAGGTTTAACCGAGAGTTTCGAAATTTTGAGGGGAAATTTCAAGACCAACAAACTTACTGCCAATGCTAAATTTAGAACTTTTGAAAAAATTTCCAAACTTATACACAAAGTTTTAAAACTTAGAGGAAATTTTCAAAACTAGGCAAATGTGTACTAACGTGCTAAAAGAAGTATTTATATCGAATTATTTAAACATTTGATAAGAGCTACTGTTTATTTGTTTTTGCTCTCCGATCACCTATTGTTCTAGCTGACAAACTTCTCTTTATCATTAAGCCTTCAAAAATCTTCATAATTATGCCAACACGTATGCTCATTCTTCGTGAAGCTTCTTCGTTAATCATTGCTGCCACTTCTAATTATTTCAATTAAAATATTGAACTCTCGTTTTTGTTTTACTGATATTGTTAGAGTATTAATTCGATAAAAATATGATGTTATAGATGATGGTTATTGATGTAGATGTCATATCAAAATGATATTATATTATATATTAAAATAGCGTAATTTTGATATGTCATCCATATCAAAACGTTATTATTGAATTAACAATCTAATAATATAATTGAAACGAAAATAAAATTTCATTATATTAACAAAGTAATTGAAAATTTAATTGTATGAACAATGTAATATCGAAAGTAGAGTGATGTCCGATGTAGTTTAACAATAATCCAAAGTTACATCAGGTTTGTTCCCGATTCTTTGATTCTCACTATTCTTAAACTTATTTAGAAGGCTCTGATGTATTTCATTCAGGAGGAACGGAATCGGAGACACTCAATGGGGAGAATGAGATTGGGGATGAAATTGTAATATTTTTAAAATATGGGAATCATATATAATTAAGGGTAACATTGAGTACACAATTGTAATAAATCCTCAAAGGTAACGTCATTTTCCTCTACATTGTTCCAATTTATTTTTTTAAAAAGGGCAAAACCATCAGAGCTCAAATTCTCCAACTCATTCCCTCCCTTTTCACGTCTCCTTTGATCCCACCGAACGACTGCGTTTCAATCGCCAGACAATCCCTTGGAGGAGTAGCCGCCGTCGCACGGCGGACCTAAACGTGGGACTTGCTGCCGGAAAAATCATCAGGTAAAACAAAATATTAGTATGTTTTATTGTCAACCAGTTAATTCAGAAGCGAAGAAAGCGAGAAATTGCTGTGCAGTTTGGATGAAACAAAGATGCTGTTTATGAATAATTAAAATTTGGATGTGTAAAGTTTTAAGATGTGTAACCAAAATTTTTTTTAAGATTATAAAAGTTCTTCGAAATTCTAATAGCAAAACTAGGAATGATGGGAGGGGCTGTGGCCCACCCCAGCCCGACCCGACAACTTTTTTTTTACATTTATTTTATATATAAAATTTAAATATTCATGGGATAATCATGAATTGCCCCCTACTTTTAGAGAACTTGTACTTTTCCCCTCTCGAGTTGGGATCATGAGTTGGGATCATGGCTCCGTTCTTGCAAACACTTCTATGTTTATTCGTTCGTTTATTAAAATGAACATAAATATTTGCTTAATAAACGAACATGAACGAACGATTCACAAACATTTATCAAACACATTGTTCATTCACATCCATAGTAATGTGTTTTTGGCTATTACCTTGAACTCGATGAGTTTTATGGTTTGGAGGTAACAGTGTTGGAATATTTTGTTGTTGATGCTACTTGGGACTTGGAAGTATTGCCTAACCGCAATTCCTAGCTTATATTTTGAACTATGTTACACAGACCTTTTAGTTTCTCTAAGGTATTGATGCCTTATACTTATTTGGATACGAGGTACGATCCTCCAAATATATGAAAAATCTTCGAAAAATATTAAG